ATCTCATGATACCCAGTTAATTTCATGCTCTAAATCAATTTATTATAGCATCAAAGCGTTATTTCTGTAAGAGAAGAAAAACTTGATTTTATGTACTTTTGTAGTTAGTATGTTTTTTGTCATTAAATGTATTGAAGTTCACCCACTCATTGTTTCACTTTTGTCACCATCGTTAGACTTCAATTTTTTATTCAATTGAGGCACTCCATCTTATCAGATTAATGAATATGATGATGTGGTATGGAAAATTTGGTTTGTCCATATATTCTAAGAAAAATGCTATTCATCCCCAGTAGGGATACATCCCCAGTCTATGTGGATGTAAATGATTGGTTAAATGATAGGTGAAATTAAATGACTTATTTAATTTCACCTATCATTTAATGTCACATTAACGCCACATAGACTGGGGATGCATCCCCACTGGGGATGAATAGCATTTCTCATATTCTAACCACTTACATATATTCTATATTTTTTCAGTATATTTACAATACTCTTACAAATTATGTCAAAACCTTCCTCATTTTCTTTCATTTTTTTCCTTAAACAACACACTATTTAATACCCAACTTCACCAACGGCACGTGCATCGCACGTGTGTCAAACTAGTATTTTTTAAAAGAACGAAGTTTTCTAGGTGTTGAGGTGTTGGATTATTGTTGTTTTGAAAATTGTTTTTCCTTCCTTTTTTTTTCTTGTAAAAACACGGACAACTAGACTATTTACATCGAGCTGGATGAGATTTTGCGCGATCTCCTGGATTAAGTTGAACGAGAATTTAAAAAGAAAATAATAACAAATATAGATGGAAGTCGTTTTTACTTTTTAACATGAAAAGCTAAAATAATAACAAATATAGATGGAAGTCGTTTTTACTTTTTAACATGAACAACTAAAATAAAACATTAATCTATACAGAATCTTCAAAAAAAAAAAAAAAGGAGAAGAAGAAGAAGAAGAAGAAGTTAATTAACCTAGTTCTCATTAAATTTTCACAACAATGTATATTTTCACAGTCACAGTTAAATCAGAGGGCATTTTGAAAAATTTCCTTTCGGTGCTTGAAGCTGAAGATGCTCTGGTTTCTTTAACATTTTTCCAGATTCTTGGTAAGAAGCCTTTCTCTTCCTCAACATTTCCTTTAAGGTACTACTGAATTTGATTTCATTTTTTCTTTATTGTGAAAATTTTGAATAAAACCCTAACCCTTCTTTTTTGTCAAAGATTTAGACGAGGTAGACTAGATAATCTGTTTACTTATTTAAAAAAATAAAATAAAATAAAAATTGCCTTTGTACAAGTTACTCCCTTAGTCCCATGAATACTCCTATATTCCATTTTTGTGTGTCCCAAATCATAGTCTTGTTTCTTATTTGAGAGTGTAGTTAATATATTAGTTTCTTAATATGCTATGTTTAATGTGTTTTGTTATCACAAATATAAACAATTTCATTATTCTGTTGTAATTGGAACAATAAATTAAAAACTAAAATAACATTTGTATCTTTCATGACATTTATTTATTTGTATTTGTATTGGATGACTTTGGAATATTAATTACCTTGATTCTTACATTAAACAATGACTAAGACCAAAAATAGTTTAATTACCTTGAATATTGCATGCATAATTTAATTACCTTGAATATTGATTACATTATTGTATGGGTATATTAAGAAAAATAATATGAAAATGTTGTGAAAAGTAAGAAAAAGAGAAGTCAATAGACTTCTGTGTGTAATAATGAGAACCAAAGCCCTATATTTATATGGAAGGATTAGGGATACATATGATAATAATTTCTAGGGCTGTAGGGGTACAATTGTCGGTCACCAATAACTTACCATTTACAACACTCCCCATTGAATGACACATTACAAAATATCTATCTTCTTGATACATTATTTGGCAAAAAACCCGATAAGAAAAAAATGCCAACAATAAAGAATACAAATATGAAGAGTAATAAATTGTTGTCTCATTAAAACCTTGTCAAGAAAATTCAGTAGGACAAAACTTGATCGAAGGAAAAAGAGTACAGCTACTCCCCTTGATTTCAATTATTATATCAAGCGATTCATGTCTTGTATGTCAATGTCTTCAATATTGATATCTTGTACGTCAATGTCTTCAAAAAAATTCAGAGCGACAAAACTTGATGACAGCAGTAATATGATGATTCGAAAAATAGCTCTTGTTGATTTCTTCAGGAGTCTCATATATATCATAGTATTATTTTGAGGGTAAATGTCTTTTAGGTTATAGACATTCATTACACAAAGAATGTCTCATTAAAACCTTATTAGGAAAAATCCTGTGGGAAAATCCTAATGAAAGAAAAAGAGTATATTTATTCCTTTGAATACGCCACAAAAGTTGTCTCGTTAAAAACCTTGCCAGGAAAACCCGATGTGACAAAACCTCTGTCAAGGAAAAAAGAGTACAACGCGTATTTACTCCCCCTCATGATAATATTATTTGAATTATATACTTCAAGCATATTAAATCTTTCAACGTAACATTAATAGACACGCCAGATAAGTTGGCTATAATCAAATTTATTATATGCATGTCAAATTTCATGCATTGTCAGACTAATAAATTAAAGACTTGTGATTGCATCCACCACGTGATAATTTATCTATTTACACATGTTTTCACGGAATTCATTATAAAGAATCATACATTTCGTATTACGACTTTACTTTTTCTATTTTCATTTCGCATAAATATACACCTCTATGTATTCAGATTGTAGATCCAGAAACTTTATATTTCTCAAGTAAATTCTTTCACTAGGATCACGTCATTTTATTTGACCAATTATTCGATCGATATATTTCAACGAATTTATTTCGATTCATCGCTATTCATAATATGATGTAGTACATCATGCGTAAAAGTGTTGTCGACAACTTTTTCTTATCTTTTTCGATTCTATTTTTTTCTATAATGACATAACTTATTGAAATATCTCAATTTTCATTATTCCAGGTACCTGAACCTCTTCTGGGGTTTTATTATATGTTATGTCTAAATACCCATTAAGAGTATGTGCCTCCTTAATAAGATCATCTTTACCAATTGCTCCATTTTCGTTTGGAGGATTTTGTAATAGAATCAAATATCATCACACTTCAAGCGTGCCATAAATTTATCAAATATAATATTAACTAATTGTCCTTCCAGGAATCAATTAGATTTGGAGCATTTAAAGCTGATGTGTGAGATTGTTAATCCCTTTGTTCAGTAAATGTATCTAAATGAATTATTCTTCGAACTTCTGGTTGGAATTGTCTTTTGCAAGTATTTAGATCATTATGCATTTGTACATTATTTTCAACTTCTTAACTCCCCCCTAATGCCGAGAGATTTGTCCAATCAAATTGACAATCTTTTTCCAGCGTTATAAAATATCACCCATTTGGGATAAGGGTTCATACAACCCATTTATTCTCAGCATTTTTTAATTTCCATCTCAGTGCATTGTGGTGGATTAATTTTACATATACTGAACTATCGAAATAATTTGATGAAAAAATTAGGCACTGGCCATAAGCCAAGTTATAACTAGGAGAACTATGATGTTGGCATGATACGTAATGACTTTCCCTAAATTAAAATGGGAAGTATTTGGTTCTCAATTAAATTCATTGGAGGCATTTAACAAACAATAATGTTAAACCATTTATCGACATCTCAACTAACACCTATTAAAAATTTGAGATTTAGGATTACTAGTATTAAAAAGACATATTGTCTTAATTGTAAAATTTGAAAATTATGCTCCTAATTTGAGGAGCACTTTCGCAAACTTCTGGTTGCGAACACCATCCAATCATCTAATATTTGTATCAAATCTATTAGATACAAATACTATATAGACGGTCAACGTGGAGGGTGACAGGACCCCATATATCACCCTAATTAATTTTCATAAATATAGAAAATTCAATCTTTATTTAACAGTAACGATCAATGACCAATTTTCAATAAAGAGAACAAACATCAAATATGATTTCTTTGGATTGAAGAATTTTCTGGTTCGTTCTTCGTTAAATGTCCATTTGAATTCTTATTTCACATCATTATTGATTCAGTGATGATCCAACTAGTCATACCAAATATATTGAACTTCTGGTTCAATATAGTATTTATTTTAATTGTACCACACATTTTAGAAACATAGCATGTTTCTCTTTAATTTAGTAGAGAATACTATCAATAGTAAAATTTTATTCTCCTACATTACGCAATATTGATTCTTCTATAATATCAAAAGAATATTCTTCTGAAATATTGATATATACCTAATTATGATTATTCACAAATAATATAACAATATTCTTCAGGAATATCGATATATTTAAATTAATTATAACATTCTTCGAAAATATAAATATGTATAAATTTGTGCTTCTTCAGGAATACAATACAGTATTCTTCAAGAATACTTATATATCTTATTTTTGCTTCTTCTGAAGCAATATATCATTTTTTTTTTAATATTGGAATCGTAGTGTCATGCTATTCAGGAGCAATAACATATTATTAAAATAATAAATTGTATAAGAATTTACTCTTCGGGAGTAAAAACATAATTTTTAATCAAACAAAAAATAATTAGAACATAAATAATAGTGTGCTACTTCAGGAGCAACAATAAATTATTATTTATAAAAATTAACTCTTCAAGAGTATATTTTCTATGATAATATAATATTTAGAGAGTTGTGCTTATTCAGGAACCACATGTCAATATTCTTATGAGAAAAATATAATTCATACTCTTCAGAAGCAAGTAATATTTTTCAGGAATATTAATTATAATGTTGTGCTACTTCCGGAGCAACAACAAACTATTTATAATGGATAGATCTACGATTAATATTCTACTGAAATATTAATTATAATATTGTGCTACTTCAGGAGCAACAACGTAATGAATTATTTATTTAAAATTTATAGAAAAAAATCTAAAAATATTTAATTACCATATAGACATAATATGAATTTATATAGAAAAATTAATTACCAAAAATGTATTAGCAAAAAAAATCTTCCAAACATGCATTAGGAAAAAAATCTTCATATACCAAATTTAATGGTAGAATATTATAGAATGAAATACGTTCAAGAGCATACTGTAGAATATTTACGTATAAAGACATTTATTAATGCAAAAAATCATGATGACGGTTTATATAAACATGAATTAATTCGAAGACATGTGATTAAGCAGAAACTGAAGAATTCGACTTCATAAGATTAATTCAAAGACGTGATTTTATGTACATGCATGAATTCAAAGACATAAATCATAGATCATGCATATGTACATACATGAATTGACTAAACATGAATGGATATAGACATGAATTGAAAAGGCAAGTTAGAATCTGACTGCAAGTTTGCACCGTTATGATGTATGTGTATATTAAAAAAAATTCGCATGTCACTAAATTAATTTTGGTACATGTAGTAGATGATTATACTTTAAAAAATTACTACATTCACTAAATTTTGAAAAATTAAGCTATCGTGCTGATAATGTATTGTGAAAAGAGAGAAAAAGAGAAGTCAATAGACTTGTGTGTGTAATAATAAAAACCAAAGCTCTATATTTATAGGGAATGATTATGGATACATATGGTAATAATTTTTAGGGATGCATGGGTACAATTGTCATTCACCAATAACTTACCATTTACAACAGAAAATTTATTATTTCAACTATATTAACTAAATTTTCTTAATATGTGTGAAAAAGAAATATGAATATCTTTATGGGACAGTGGAAGCAATATTTGTAACCTTAATGTATCATTGGGTATAAATTGATTGTTAGGGGAAAGAATACTATATAAAATGTCATCTGAATGTTCAAGGGAAAGGGATCTTCTATACGTCAATCGTGACAGAATTAGCTGCTTGCCGGATGCGATTATCGGTCATGTTAACTCATTTCTTTGTACAAGATATGTAGTTCAAACCAACATTTTGTCCAAGAGGTGGCGAAACCTCTGGACTTGTATCACCAATCTTGAATTCTTCGTGAATGATTCAAATGCATTATGTATAGATCATGTACTCGGTTGCTGTACCGTAAAACAGATCGATAGGTTTTCTTTGACAGTAATTGAGGATGTTGATTTTTTCTATGTCAATGAATGGGTTTGACTTTTGAGGACCAAAGATTACGCCATGTATTTTCACATGCAAGACCCTAACAGTTCTATCACTTATATCTGTAGGAATCTTATTCCTGGTTCTTTTGGAAGATTGTATTACCTATCCTTCAAGTGACTTCGTGGAGAAACTTTTATCCAGTTGCGCCCAACACTTGAGGATTTAACTATTGAGGGAATTGCAGAAAAAGAAAGTATATTCAATATTTTTTGTCCAGTGTTGAAGAGATTGATGATCGAGTTACAAATATGGGGCCGTGAGGTGCTGAAATGTGAAGTTGTAATAAATCCCCCAAACATCGAACTCCTTGATCTTGCTGAATATGTAGTGAATTTAAACACTGAATTTTCACATACCTTTTTGAATATAACTTTAAATGTATCAGATTCAATTATATATACCAAATGATTTGTAAATTACAATAAGACGTAATAAGTAATTTAAAGGGAACGGCAAAATATCAATATGCACAAACAAGTAAAAAAGAAAAAAACAAATTAAACAGTAAAACTTTTAACCCGGGGCCTGTGTTACACACAGTTTCCTTAAAACAAATTCGTCCCCTCACCATCTGTGTTTGAGGTTTAAATCGAGCATCCATTTCCCAGGATACAAAGGTAAAACTAGTAGATTCTGAGCACTACAGATACTACTTCGAAGAATTGATTTAGTGTCTGAACAATACCACCTCCAAGACTCAAACAGAAATTAAAAATGTATGCAGACAGTTTTTTTTTTCGGTGTATTTTTAGATGAATTCGTGTGTGTTTTGAAAAGTGGAAAAACGAGAGATATAAAGACTTGGCTCTTGAGAATGTAACTTGCCCATTCACTTAATGGCAATTATCATAGGAGTTTCAACAGTTTCAGAAAATGAAAAGTCAGTTAAATAAAACAAAAATATAGCAAAACGTGGACATTCCTAAGGGGCCAATTTTGCTCATTTCGGTCAGACATTCGTGTACGCGGATCGCGTTTGCATACGAGTTCAAGGTCCGAAGCCAATTTGGTCCGTGATTTATACCCCCTGCGCGTGCACGTGGAAAGAGCCTCTATGCTACACATGATTAAACCCTTCCAAAATGCAACCATATAGAAAGGAGTTTTTTTTTCATCAACTTCCTATGTGGGACGAACACATTTCTTGTTTTCCCACCAACAAAAACTCATTTTAATTGGCTTACTTTGAGCTTCAATCTCATTCACTCGAGCATCAATTTTGATAAGTAAATACATGATTTCGATGTACTCACGGAGGAGAACATAAATCAATCTTTCTCTTCCAAAATAGCCAAACGGGTCCCACTCAAAACTCATACCAAATTCAACCACATACTCATTTTTTCCAACAATCCCCCAAACTGCTGGTGTGCTTGACACGAACTCTTTCTTGGGACAGACGCTTAACTATAGCTTCAGAAGCTGCTGGTGTGCTTGCATATTTGCACTCTGCAGCTTCACCTCCAATCATACACCGAGATGTCAAATCTGCAAATATACTTTTAGACACTACTTTCACAGCAAAAGTGTCTGATTTTGGAGCATCAAGATTGGTTCCACTAGATCAAACCCAATTATCTACTATGGTGCAAGGAACATTCGGATATTTAGACCCTGAATACATGCAAACGAACCAACTCACTGAGAAAAGTGATGTATATAGCTTTGGAGTAGTCCTTGTGGAGCTATTAACAGGAGAAAAGGCATTGAGCTACGACAGACCAGAGGAGGAGAGAAATTTAGCTAGTTATTTTCTTTCTACACTTAAGCAAGGCCACTTATTCCAAATTCTTGAATAAGTGAAGGAAATAGTGAGCAGTTAGTAGCAGTTGCTATGCTTGCAAAAAGGTGTTTATACGTTAGAGGAGAGGATAGACCTTGTATGAAGGAAATAGCTATGGAACTTGAAGGTCTCAGACTATCAGCAAAACACTCATGGGCACAAAATGAATCCAACGCAGAGGAGATGGAATCGCTTCTTTCTGTGGAACTTAATACCTTCTCCAGTGTTGAGGGCAATAGCAAAGGTATTGTACGTGTATGATAGCATGAGGAATGATATAATTCTACCAATGGGTGGTGGAAGATGATCTGAGGATAAAAAATACTTTGTACTTAAATTGGATTTCTTCCTCATTCTACCAATTTGTCATTTGTCATTGTATAGAACAATTAGCCATTTGGCAAAATTTTATAAATCAATTATAATGGTCCAACCATACATTCCAATTAACCTACAAGTACTACTCATTACTCATTTCTATTTATTTTTAAACTAAAACAAATTAATTCTTCCCAAACAAAGGCAATAATTATTACGTAACTAATTCTGGGAACTTATATTTGTACATTTTGTGAAATTGTTGATCTTAAGAAATAGGGGTTTCAAAATGGACTAATCCTACCTAAGTCAGGGACAATCTGGCCAGTAAAAATTAGCCAAGAACTAGGCATCTATGCCATCTTGGCCCATAGTAGTCTGATTGCAGGCTAGACAGCCTTTGAAGGCAGGTCATGCTAGACTCAGTGAACTGATTTGTTCAAATCAGCTGAAAAAAGATTAAAATTAGAGCAATAGCTCTAGATTTCTCATGATTCTCACAATATTTTCTGTCCTCTCATAATATTTTCTACTCACTTCATGTTCAATTTTGTAACCTATCATGCCAGGTGCTAAACACCAATAGTTGTACATAGCATTGTTCTTTTAGACAAAACGGATTCACAAATTACGACTACATGTGCTATTTCTTCAAATGCATCTTCCGCCATTGAACCATACATTTCAGCACAGAACTTATGGAAAAGGGATAGAATCTGAAACCTCTTCTTTATTTTTTATTTTTTATTTTTTTGTAAATGATCAATTACTTAAATAATTTACAGCTTGCATTTTGGGCATGTTGTAAAAGCTTTAATATTTACAGCGTAATTCTGAAGCATGTCGTATAGATTGATAAAAAATTATTTACGATTTTTCTTTTTGAAAAAAAAAAAAATTATTTACAGCATACATGTTGCACGCCATTACAGTGTTTTAAAGAAAAAAGGGAAGGAGCAGCTGGATTTTTACGGCATACATAATTGCACGCCGTAAAAGTGCAAGAAAAGAAAAGGAGAAATTTCTTACGGCATATATGTTGGTATGCTGTAAAAAATGTAAGATAAAAATTTTAAAGTACCTACTAAATAGATGGATCTATTTTTCATTTAAATGAAAATAAGGCTATAATTTTTTAACCAAAATGACTAATTGCTTGCTAAATATAAAAAATTGTGCAGCTTATTAGGACTTACCATAAAGTTAGAAGGTTGATGACACATTTAGTACGACAAATTGAGATAAGAGCTAGTTAATGAACAAGTCGTCATTTCGAAAATCAATTATACAAGAGCATGTAAGCTCTACTGATATTTAGAGATAGAAGTTTCCATGCTATTGAAGACTTTAGCTATGCATATTGTCTAGTATATAACTAATTTAGTCGTAATTTATGAGGTAAAGTAGTTACAGTGAACATAATTATTTAGTTTCCACTTGAAAATGTTTGAAAGTTCTTTAATATTCATTATAACGTGTCTCATGTCAGATGAGTAAAAAGTATTTCGTTAGAGATCAACCCGGCCTCCTTAGTGACCTAGAAATGGTGCCTGAATGCTTGGTATCCTGCCTTGAAATTATTAATCTACTAGTGTTTGAGGGTAAGACACGTGAGATGGAGATGGTGAAGTATTTGTTGGCTAATGCTCGAGTTCTGAAGGAGCTAAGGATCTTAACGTTGAATATCCCACCGGAACTAAAACTTGAGATTCACAAACAATTGCTACAGCTTCCAAGGGGTTCAACAAATTGTGTAGTTCATTTGAAGTGAGTTTCTAGGTATTTTAGATAACATCTATGAGTCTCCTCTGTTCTTAGTGTATATTCAGATGTGGCTCCTTCGTTATGGTAAATCATGTCATGGAAATACTGGTTGCAAGTTGCTATTTTATTTGAGGATAAGAATTCATTTTGGTATGTTATTATTTGATTTTCTTTTGTTCAAGCAATTGCACTAAAGGCAAATTCACAACGGAAGCACAAGAACACAGCTACAGAGAAGACATTGCACAATCAAGAAACGAATCCTTTATTTCATTGAGGGCCCAGAAACATTCATTGTACCCTTTTGTACAAAGAAACAGCCTCAAGCACACCAAACCCCTAATCTATTCACCACAATGGCTACTCAGTGGCTCGAAGAAACACACTGCCAAAACCAACAGAAAATGCTCGCTCTCTAAGAACCACAAAGGCATCAACCACACAGATTGAAGATTTAAAACCAGAGGTTTAAATCCATACACAAAGTATCACTAAGAAACAAAAAGAGAGAGCACGAAGAACAGAAAGCCCCAGAAGCTCCACAGACAAAAGGAGAGAAAACAATGAAAAGTTAGGGCTCAAGAATGACGCTTCAGCTGGTATATATAATATCAAGCATCAGCTGTTAGATCAACCATGAAGATCGACGGTCCAGAGCAGCTCAAGTGGGAAAAGAAATGGGACGGTTTTGGGCCAGTTTCAATGCGTTATCGGGCAATGGCAAAAACATTCCAGCAATGGGCCAAGCCCAATTCATCATCGCCCAAAAGGTTGAAATGCAAATGTCACAAATGGCATCACAATCCAACAGTACTTCTATTTTAGATGGAGTGACAAACTTAATAGTGTGGGTGTCACGTAAATAATTTTTTTTCTTTTTGTGTCGTATATGACAACTAAAGCACCAAATGCCTTGGTGAACAACATATGCATACAATGTAAGTAGATGTTCATGTTTCCCCAGAGTTGTCTCAGAAGATTTTTTCTATGGTCTTCAGTTATACGTAGGTTTTCTCTTGTATTAAAGTTAATACAGTTACGTTTCTATCTATGAAGAGGTGGTAATTGCAGAATATGCATCGGCAGATTACATATGAGTGCCAAATGAAAGAATTTTCGTTAATGTGATAGCTGTTTATATTCAGGTTCTTTAATTAAATTATGCTAAATATTTGATGTTGGAAAGGAAATAAATAATTGTCTTGTGAAAACGTAAAATTTAAGCAAAATTTGACAAAAATAGTATTTGAGAGGACATAACTTGGGATATTGAACAAATCAAGATTAAATAATGACCAAAAGAAGACTTCCGAAGTCCTTATTGAAAAGAGTACAAGCTATGAAAAATACAATCGTAACTCCCCATGGGATTGCTAACTCAATTCATTCTGGCAACCCTGCTTATATTTGTCTCAACATCGATTTCAAGTTGTACCATTGTAAATTTCCGAATAGCAAAGCCAAACTCTATGGATCGTTGAGGAAATGTAAGTATTCCCTTCCCTTTTGGCACAACAAAAGGGTTACCTTAACTGAACATTCTTGGTCTCTTGTAGTGACACACTATGATCCTCCCGAAGCTTTCTTTGCAAATTCAAACATATTCTCAGAGGGCAAATTTCGCATCCTAGACTACATAGCAATACATTGTTAGGATTGGAATGGCACCAGAATGCTGTGGTATCAAGTTCCTAGATACAACTCACTTGGAGCCTCACCATCAATATAACTTCGAATAAGTTAATTGGTATTGGTCGTGATAATTATGCTTCTCTGTACTACCTGTTTAATGGGAATTTTATGGGACGGTGTAATTTCTACCGGGGGGTTTTTGTGGACGGGATATGTTCTGGTCCAGGTTGCTGCTAAACTTCTATCTCCAAAGGAGGTGTGTATTAAGGGATAGAATCTCACATCGAATAAAGATGTAAACAAAGACCAACTTATAAAAGATTGAGTTACTCATCTTAATAAGGTTGACCTTTTAAAATAGAATTCCAAATCTTAACAGTGTGGATAGCAAACCTGAAATTGAGAAGCTATTATAATTACTCTTGAAGAGTGGGACGTCAATAATTGCAGCTATGGTTTTCTTGCTGAGGGAAGTCCATTCACTTTTTCTTCAAGTAGCCTTTCCAGCCTGTTAGCTGAAGAAAGCAACAAACAACTCTCATGACAGTAGGATTATTGGTCGAGGCTTTGGCACTGTATACAAAGGCTAATCAGATAACAAAGTAGTTGTCATCAGGAAGTCCAAACAAGTTGATCCAAACCATTCGAGCAATTTATCAATGAGGTGATTGTTCTTTCCCGAATAAACCACTAGAATGTTGTTAGGCTTTTGGATGTTTAGAAACACAAGTTTCTCAGCTAGTTTACGAACGGCATCCTTTTTGAACACATCAACAGTTAAACAAAAGCACGCACTCTTTCTTGGAACAAGAACTTCAAAATAGCTGCAGAAGCTGCTAGAGTTCTCGCATATTTTGCACTCTGCAGCTTCTCCTCCAATCATATACAGAGATGTCAAATCAGAAAATATTCTGTTAGACACTACTTTCACAGAAAAGGCTTCTGATTTTGGACCATCAAGATTGGTTATCTACTATGGTGCAAGGAACCTTTGGATACTTAGATCTTGAATACATGCAAATAATCAATTGATTGAGAAAGTGATGATTATAGGTTTGGAGTAGTCCTTGTGGAGCTACTAACAGGAAAGAAAGCATTAGGTGTTTCCTTAATCTTATACATTGTTCTAAAAAGCATAAAGCATTTTTTTATTTTACTATTATTTAAAATTTCTAGTCATTCTAAAATTTTCTAGTCGGTGGAAGTTGATGTAATAGACACTTTTCGATTATTGTTGAAAACTGGTCATTATTGGATTTGAAAGACACTTTTGTTGTGCCGTCTTTTAGACAGAATTTGGTTTATGTTTCTTTGTTAGACAAATTTGGTTATTATTGTTCATTTGGTAAAGTATTCAGTTCATTTCACTTTGTTATTATGTTCAGTATTGATCTCACTTAAAAAATAAGGTTGACCAGTTGGAAATAAACATGTTTGGATCACATAACATCTAATTTTCATGCTACACTCCGATGATTGATCTATGTCATTTGGTTGTATGGGTGTATGTGACCATTGATGGATTTAGTCGCGTTAAATGTGACGAAAAACGCTTTGATCCTATATTAGTATGACTAATGGACGAGATTGTTTGGTAATACCCATAATAATAATAGCAAAATTTTGAGTTCATAAGGTTGTGCACATTTGTAAGGTTACACGTATGGCCCATGGGAGATTGTTGGATAATTTCAACATATATGGGGCCACACGTTATATATTAAAATGTGTGGTGCTATTGTTTAAAAGATATTAGTCAATTAAAGTGATCCGATAAAGATGTATTGTGACTAATGTGTATTAGAGTTCATGGAATTATAGTGTAGAGATTGGAGTGTTGTTTTAAATTGATGAGGGGCCAATTTGAAGCAAGTGAAAGATAGTGACTATTGAGTTACTACTATTATTTTATATGGTTATGGTCCCCATTTGTTGGTATTCTTCAAATTTCTCTATATCCCCATCAATAGAGAGCAAAAGTTAAGGGAAGATCATCAATCATTTGGAAGATCCTAACCTATCCAGGAAAAGAATCAGATTATCATGGATCAAGGTATGTTTTTATGTTTTGTTATTTTTTCGGATTTCAACATGGAGTAAGATTTATGGTTATTATTGAGAATTTAGGATTTGATTATTGTTTTGATCGATAATCCTATTATGTTTTTCCATCATACATTGCTATTGTGAC